CAAATACATTCCTACATGCACACATTACACACATACGTATGCACCAAAGGAACTACTCATTCACTCCTTCATATTTCTGGAGTAACCATAAGTCAAGCCAGTAATGAAATAAGATTTGTTTAGGCTTCTGCTGAAACTGATAGTCACTAGCCATAGTCAGCAACTTCTATTTTTATTTTTAAACATTTTTTAAATGTTTACTTATTTTTGAAAGAGAGAGAGAGACAGAGCATGAGTGGGGGAGGGGTAGAGAGAGAGAGGGTGACACAGAATCCGAAGCAGGCTCCAGGCTCTGAGCTGTCAGCACAGAGGCCATTGCAGGGCTCTAACTCACAGACTGTGAGATCTCGACCTGAGCCGAAGTCAGACAACCGACTGAGCCACCCCTAGGTGCCCTTCTATTTTTAATGACTTTTAATTTACTTTTACTTACAATTACAATTAAAAGGTCGGTTCCTTAGATGTACTAGCCACATTTCAAGTGCTTAAAAGCCACATGTGGCTAGCGGCTGCCACATTAGACAGGCAGATATAGAATATGCCCATTATTGCAGTTCTTTTTGGACAACAGAATCCTATGGTGCCTGTGCATAGCTGATGAAGAGTCAAGAGTGCTGACCAAAGGCAGAAACTACTCACAAATTCTTTACACATAGTAACTCATTTAATTCTCATGTTTATTATCAGCCCTCACTTTACAGATGACGAATCTGTGGCATTGGGAAGCTAGGTAATTTGCCCAAGGAAACAAAGTTATTAAGCAATGGAACCAGGATTTCGACTACAGACATTTCTTGCCTATCAGATCCAAAAAGCACAGTATCCCAGTGGACAAAGCACAGCCTGCACCGCCTTTTTGCATGTGGCCTTGGAGGCTGCACAGGATCACTTCCAGCACAGCTTAGTGACCAGGCAGTCACAATCCCACCCAGATTCAGGGAGAGGGGCAGAGAGCCCACCTCTTGAGAGGAGGCGGCAGCTCACGTTACAGAAGAGCATATAGGACAGGAGACAGAGATGTGACTATCCTTTTCCATAGCTACTTGCCACATCTTTGTACTATGTCTTATGCTGGTTATTCTTTATTTTCACCCCCAATCTGCCAGCTCCCAGCATCTACTCCGTGCCTGGGAGGCCAGCCCCAATGGATAACACAGCCTGAGCTGCTTGCCCAGGGACGGTCAGGAGCAGGAGATCCAAGAGCAGGAGGGAGGAGCTCAGGGAGTACACTGCCTATTTCTTCCTTGCTTTAGCACCACGTTTCTGTAGGGCCGCGCTTCTGGCTACATCTCTCCGTAAATAAGCTCCTGTGGAAGTGGCCCATTTTCTACAGGCCCAGTTCTCACTGGATTTCAGCAACACTGTATCTATCCTCTTCCCATTAAACACTAGGTGCTAACGTTTTGTGGGTTGTTTTTTTGTTTGTTTGTTTGTTTGTTTTGTGTTTTTTGCCTTGACAAGTTTCGATCTACCTCAGTATCCCTAGTTTGTTCCTAACCCTGCCCCAAATTCTGTAAGTCATTCTTGTGTCAAACATTCTTCATTTAAGTTGCTGGAGAGAATTCCAATTCTTATCAGGGCCGTGACTGAGACAGACACACAATAGGAACTAAACAGAGACAGTTCAGGGAACAAATATGAAGAATTAATAACCAAACTTCCAATATCTTCTTCTATGTGTCTGACAGAATTGTTGAATAGCATAATTATGTCCCTCTATCATTACGTTGGGATTGACAGAGATCCAATATACATAGGAACTGGTTGTCTCAAAAACTACATTCTATTATTCTTTCAAAAAGAACCTTTTTCACAAAAATGAGTGATTCTTTCAAATGCATTGTTCAAATAAACATGCTCATTGTTGTATTTCTGATTTACCCTAAAAAACAATTTTCCATCCTTCTTTTAAAACCAGACCACCTCTCTCTTTTCAAAGTGTTTATGAACGAAATACTAAATAGTTCTATCACTCTCATAGCTTTGCTAAAGACTGATTAAGCCTACCTATACATTCCAGAGCTTCCTTTTTGCCCATTATATTACAAAAAGAATTTTTTTTTGGTTTTGGTGCACAAGCCTACAATCCGTGTCCCCTCAAAGATGACTAGTGGTGATGACAATAATTACATCTGTAAATTCCCTATTTATCTTAGATGATATAGATCTCATATTCTAGTCCTGAATACCTTTTAGAAAGACCAATAAACAAGATCTATCATTTACTGAGTACCAGATAAGCACCTGATGCTTCACTGTGACCTAGTTACCTTTGCTATGCTTCAGTTACTCCTTCTATACATAATATATATAATAAAAATAAAGGCTATATATTTTATTATCATGTTATTTCTGAAAAAAATAACTGTTAAAAAATATAGAACTGGACTCTTTTCTCTAAATTTTTTGCAAGCTGGAAGTCATTTTGGCCCAGCTCTAACACTATTCTTACACTATCATTATAATTTTTGTCCTTTTTCTGTTTTTGAATCATTCATCATGTTCCCCTGCCTTCCAACATCCTTCACATTCCCTATGGTCTCTTGAGATTTGGTATCATTTTCTCCTTGTTGGATTACTTTAAAACTCAGAACAATACTGTGTTTTGTTTTCCATCTCTCTTGATTTATATTGCCATTTAGAACTTCTGTCATATCTTCCACCTGGACTCCAAGATTGACAGCAAGAACTGAATCATGTATTTCTTTTTTCCAAATACTTAGCACAGTATCTTACACACACACACACAAATATTTAACATATATTTGTCATACACTTCCATTGCGGGAAGAAAAGAATTAATAATAAGCCAAAGACGCTATTCTTTAAAAAGCTTCTGGAGGGGAATGTGATATATCTTCACAAATAATCTAAGGGAAATGAACGCTAAATATGAAAGTAGTGGATCTCAAAGTACAGAAGGGTAACAACAGTATACTTCAGAAGTAATTGCTGAAAGCACCCTAGGGTAAACTGGTCAGTGGAAGAGTTCTATGGAGGCGCAGGCTCTAAGAAGGGAGTGGTACAGACAACAGGCCAAATGGAGACGACTTTCCCAAATCTGCTGTCTAACTAACTGGGGTTAACGGTTGTAAAATTCAACTTACTGAAATACAAGTAGGTAGCTAACTTAAAATTTTTTCAAGTATTGTTTTCAGTAACAAACATTGTATCTTTCTTTACCTTGATCTACGTGGCCAGTTTCTACAAAAGTGGTTCTTAACTTTTTCTAAGAGTTCAACACGGGTAGTTATACAACACTAAGAGGTAGGGTGGGTCCAGGTGTATGGAGCTGAAGCTTACATCCTTTTTAAAAAAATACAAACTTACAAAACAAAATTAGATAGCAACATAAGTGTTTATCTAGAAAGAGAAAAGAAATCTCAACAGCTCTTTGGAAGCCTTGGGGATCTAGATTCCTTTCTTCTGAGATAGCTTTAGGCAATTTACCAGGCATACTAACTTAGAAATGTTTCTGGTTGCAACCTGTCATGCCCTTCCCACCAAGAACATCTACAATTTTCAGTAACTCTCAACAGTTCCAGAGGCCTAAGCAAAGGAACATCTGAAGTTTAAATTCCAAATAGCTTCGCCTTAGATGTGCTTCTGACAAACGGGGCATTCTTAAGAGGGGGCTGGGAGACCTAGAATCTGGGGAAAGAGAAAGCACAGGAAAAAACAATCCTAGATGATTCTGATACACAGCTGCCCTACACCAATACGCCTAGACTAATAGTTTCTTAGAAGGCAATGCAAAGCACTGGCCAATTGTCCTTGATCTGAACATAAAGTATGTGTGCAATATAAAAAGGCAGTGTTAATATTTTTTTTACAAGTGACCATAAAATAATTCCACTGCTTTACGATTGAAACACATTGAAAGGTCAAATAACTTTCTCAAGAGCACAAAGCTGATACTGTCTGAACGTCTAGAATACAATCGTGCCTACCATTGCATTTAATCCTTAGGGGAGAAAGGAGTTTTGCATATTCCTCTCTGGGGCCAGAGTCTGCTTGTTCAATTTGGTAACTTGAGTTCACTCTCCCAGAATATAGCAGTGGTTAGGAATGTTGCTTTCCCTCCTACCTCAAGGTAACATTTAACTACTGCACAGACTTTCTATTAATTAATACACTGTTGTCATCGCACGTCTTCTACCAGCAGCAACGTTAGGAAACTGGGTTGGCATTCTAACAGCCCTGCAAGAAAGGTATTTTTCTTTTCCTAAAAGAAATTATAACCACCGGTCTACAAAAGCCACAAGCCTACCACTAACCAGAGTCAATTTCCCTGCAACTACACTGCAAGTTAAGACGGCCCTTTGGTCCTAGATTTCCCCGGGGAAAGGAAAAACGAAAGCGGCTGGCGGTGGGTTGGGTGGCTGTATCTGGCTTAAAAATGCTCAACTCCGCAACAGAGGAGCTTCCTGTGGGACACACGAACCGTTTTCTCCTGAAGACGGGATTCCCAGGCCACCTCTTCTCCCTGGGCTCGAGACTGACCTCGGGTGTCAATCACCCCGGCCTGAGACCCACAATCAGTAGCCCTAAATCAGGAATCATTTCTCTAGACTAGGGTGATCTCTCAGAGTTCGGGGCTGGTTGCGCCCGAAAAGAAGCTTCTAGGGAGGGGTACTTTTCGGGCCACTGCTTCCCGGGTTCGGACACTGTCCGGATGAGCTGTCCGCATCAGAGAAGAAAAGAGAAAAGGGGGGGGGGGGGAAATCACAACTTTGCAGACTCCACAAAGCCAAGGCCGTGGGGAAGGGAAGGTCAAAGTGCAGAGGAGGGAGCGGCTGCGGTTCGGGGCCCGGCCGGGAGGCAGCCCGGGGGAGGCCAGCTGCCGGCTGGGCTGGGCGGCCGGGGGAGACCCCACCCATCCGCAGCCCCGAGCCTCCGCCCGGACCCGGCGAGCTCGCGGGGCGGCCGCCGCACCACGGTGCCAACTCCTGGAGTTGACTTGGAACTTTCCCGGGACGCGCCGCCGCCTCCGCCCTCACCTTACTGAACACCTCCAGGTCGTCCTCGTCCTCGTCCAGATCCAGCACCTCGGCCTGGAGCAAGGCGGAGGAGCCGCTGCTGCCCAGGAGGGGGGCGTCGACCCCCGGGCTCTCCCCACCGGCGCCCCCAGCCGGGAGGCCGGAGGAGCGCGCCGGAGACGCCAGGCGCTCGCCCTCCATCCCGAGAGTGCGCGCCCGGCCCGCCGCCGCCGCCAGCCCGGCTCCCCCGAGCTTGCCCATTGGCTCCCGCGCATCCTGCGCCTCCCCGGCCGGCCCCGCTCCAGCCCCTCGCCCGCTGCGCAGACGCGGAACTGCCGGGGCGAGCGCGGGGCCGGCTCGTCCCCACCTGGCCTGGGGCCTGCGGGAGGCTCGCGCGTGCGGCTCGCGGGCCCTGGCGAGCGTGGGCAAAGGGCCGCTGTCCGCCGCACCGAAGCCCAGCACGCCCAAGTCGGACCGGGGCGTCCTCCCACTGCCCTGGCTCGGGGACTGCCTGGCGTGGGCTTCCGCGGGGGCAGGGGTCTGGGCTTGAGCGACCGACCCAGCAAACCGTCAACTTCAGGGAATCCGCACGGAGGCTGGAAGGCAGCCGACCCATCCGGCCCAGAGAAATAAGCCCATACTGTATTTCCTGTATTTTAAATGGTTGTCTTCTTCTCGGTTGTGGTTTTTGGATTCTGGTGGGTTTTGTTTTTGTTTCTGTTTTTCCTACTAAGGCTAATGCAAAAATAAAAGACCTGAAAAGCACCTCTATTTTTGTAATTGATTTTTGACCCAGTGACCGGACTGTGTGGTCATCTCGTTGTCAAGCCAGGGAAGTTGGATTTAAAAACTATTTTCAGTCACTTGCAAATGTGCCTTTACTTCTGCAAGTCTTCCTGAAGTTAATGAGCAGGAATGTTTCTAAGAGCTGAGGACAGCGAGCAGGACTGGACCTTGCCACCAAGAAATAATCTTCAATCTTTGTACTGCGAAGGCGACGCTATGATTATTTAGTTGTTCACTGCTGATTATTTTTTAAATCTAAGTTTCAGAAATAACGGAAAATTGAACAAAAATTGATGTATCTTGGGACTATCTCCACGTTTTATTATTTACTCCCCTCAGTCCCAGCCAGCTCTTTTCTCCATGGCCCTGGAAAGAATGTCTAATGAGTTTGCAGATAGGCAGGGAGGAGGCTAAGTCAGACTTGACTCCTGGCAAAATATTTGTCCCAATGTTTAGAATTTTTAACTTAATAAAGTTGAAAGATATATAAGATATTTGGGGGGAATAGAGATTGTTTTCTACTTCTTATTAGGGGACAGGGCTTTAATATGTGCCCTCTTAGCCATTCAAATGTACCTCCCTTTGCACTTCCTCAGTTAGGCTCGTCAGCTGCCCTGTGAATGTACAGTCTTCTTCCTACACTTTATGGTGCCTATGTCCATAATACCATCTCCTGCTCATCTTTCAGGAACTAACTAGAGCCCCATCTCTTTCAGGAAGACTTTCCAAATAACACAGCCTGTTCCCGAATTAGCATTTAAGTTTATGCCATCTTATAGACTGTCTTTATTTCATGTATTTATTTCACTTATATTCCTTAGTAAACGATAACATTTTAAGGGTAGGGATCACATTGTTTATTAATAAACCACAGTATCAGATATGCTCAAAAAGGCTCTATCCCAAGGTCTAAAAGGAATACAGTTATTAAAAGACTGTGTTTTCCTCTCTACGCTCATTCCAGCTAGTGAGAGATTCAAGTTTTTCTAATTGCAATCTGAATTAGAAAATTCTTAAGGATACTGTGACTCACACAATTGCCAGAAAGCATAGTGACAGGCTCAGAAAATGGGCAGAACAAACCAAGACCACACAGCCTGGATCACAACCAAAACCATGCCACAGAACTAATGTGAAGATACTGCTGCCACCATTGCTGATCACTGGATGCTACAGCAGCTGCACACACTGCCATGAACACTGATACCCCTAGACTTTGGGAACTGTCATCAATACGAGTACCAGAACTGCCTCTGAGAAGTACCTCCGCTGTTCCTGCCACAAAAATGCCCCCACAGTCCTCTTTCTTGTGTGAATAGTTCTAGTTTCAAAACCCTGGAGGACGGATCCTCTTGGCTCACCTGCCCAAGTCCCGCAGAGATTTCTAATATAGTTCAGCTATGTCTCAAGCACTCAGGAATATAGTCCTTAGCTCCCCAAACCTATTCATTACTGGTGCAGCTCCAAGTCTCATATGTCTATTCCTCCTGCACTTCTGCAATCCTGTTGATATTTTGCAACTTATGGACTAAACTTTTGAATTTAATCACCAACATGCCATGCCTGCTTATTCAATGGCATGATAAATCCTAAACTGATACATAACAGTCTAAGCTTCCCATTAAATGGGATCATCACTGGGCTCTATAATGGAAGAATTCTTATTTGGGTAATAAAGTCTCTGAACCAACATAATTCAAAACTTTAAGTACAGGTACAATACTAAGAGGAGGCCTATCCAGTCTGTCCCTTGGTTCCTGGACTCTTATTCTGATTATAGGAGAAATCGTATCATATATTAAATTTTGGTTCTGAGAATGTACATCTTGTGAGAAACCTTTGCCTCTCTCTCTCTCTCTCTCTCTCACCTCCTTCAGGTGGAATCTCCTGACACCATACCTGAGTCTTTAATATTACATTCAACCATCCATAAAGTCAGTTGGTTCTGATAATGGAATTCATGATAAGACAAGTCACGCCTAGGGCATTGCCCAGTGGTTTTGCTTCCTTTGCTGGGAGATGATTTAATTGATTCGAAGAAAAATGCTTTGTGCAAAATCTGATGGGAAAGCAACCAGTCAGTGAATTCATAGATGATCATGTTGGGAGAAACTGAGCAGGAAAAGCAGACCCAATGTATCCTTGCCACTATGGACGAATCATGGTATGTTTTAGAAAGGTAGCAGAGGAGTAGACCAGAAGCAGTTGCTGCTGTGGCGAGGTGAACACTTAGCCATGTAGGTAGCCAGGCTCTCCTTTAGCGGGTGGGAAATCCATGCTAGTAAGCTGGTGCATAGCATACATCCCTACCACCATGGCTACTTGGTATGTGAGGCCATGAAACGAGCATGGTAGTACCTGGAAAAGCAATAGTATTAGCATCCACAGAACAAGAATTCTTACCAAACATGCTGTTTGGTCATATAAATTCATCAAATGGGAGTTTTGAAAGACATCGCCATGGGCTGTATATACATGCTTTTATTCTGGGACCATTCTAAGAGGTCCATCCATATACATTTTCTCAAACCTCCTTGACTTCTGGTTCCTACCTTGTTCTTCTTAAGTCCCACCCAACAACCCTTTAGCCCGTGTCCTTGAGACAATAAAGAATCTTTATCCCAGCTTCTCTCCTTTGAAGATCACTGGCCATTGCTATGTACCATGGAGAGGATTTCTCTATTGCATTGCCCTTTTTCACAGGAGTACACTGATTCCAGAATATGATAAAGAACCATCTGTAACCCAGATTTGTAATTTTTACCCCCTAGTTAACTGTTCAAATGGAACTCCCTCTGAGATCCTAACAGTATCCCTGTTGGGAGCAAGAGCCAAGTGCTCATGCAATGTATACTTTTAGGACTAGTTTTATACATGCCATTTCTGCAAAAGTATGGTTTGCTGAAGGCTTATCTAATTTTATGATATTTTGGTTTAATATAGCACCTATTTCATGATAAGCTGCTCAGGTCACAGTCACACAATGTCCCAAAATCCCACAACAAGCCAAAGGCTGGTTTCCTACATGAAAAAAAGGAGGGCATATTTTGCCCTAAAACTTTAGTGTTTTTGATTCTCCTTCAGAACTTATCACAGGTGCCAGAGAGCATCCTTGTTTCCACAGGGTCATCAATAAAACTATTAATAGTAGTTAATTGGTACCTCTTTTGAGTCGGATACTGTTATTAGCACGTTATGTATGTTCATTTAATTCTCAAAAACATCTTATAAGAGGTGCTATTATTACCATCCCCATTTTATAGACAAGGAAATTGATGACCAGAGAGGTTTAGTAACTTACCCAAGGTAAGTAGTAAGTGGTAATTTACTCTCACTGAAAGACAGCATTATGTATGTTGCCTTAAAAAATATAGAAAAGAGGAATTATGGGGCGCCTGGGTGGCTTAGTCGGTTAAGCTTCCGACTTTCGCTCGGGTCATGATCTCGCGTTCGTGGGTTCGAGCCCCGCGTCGGGCTCTGTGCTGACTGCCAGCTCAGAGCCTGGAGTCTGTTTCAGAGTCTGTGACTCCCTCTCTCTCTGACCCTCCCCTGCTCACGCTGTCTCTCTCTCTCTCTCTCTCCTAGAAATAAAAACATTAAAAAAAAATTAAAAAAAAAAAAAAAGAAAAGAAAAGAGGAATTATAAGGGTATTTTGGGATTCTTGGTTCTTAAGAGAATGAGACTAAATATTTGAACTGACACTCTGCCTGCCCCCAGGGGGGTGGTAGGGCTGACCTCTATAATCTAAAAATTTGAATCATCATGAAAGAATAATGGAAGTGAAAATTTGTGAAATATGCACTCAATGACAAAACTTTTCTTCATTGGCCTGAACTCCAGGTGGGAAAGATATCTCCCCCCAAATCCTAACCATAGTTCAGCAAGTCACAATTCAAAAAATTACAAGTGTCCCTGGGTTGACGACATATACCTGGGACCTATGGTGTAAACAAACACAAAATCTCTCCCTTCAAACTACTTCGGACAGTGTTTCTACAGATAAAGCTGTTACTGCAGATGAGATCACAATTCAAGTTAAAAACATTCTTTAAAAAAACAATCTACCTTGTTCCAGAATCACTCTATAAAACTATTAAAAGGATTAGAGCCTAAAGAACACAAAAATAGAAATTATTTAATAAATAAAAAGAATAAAAATAACTATAAGATGCTATAAAAATAACTAAAAATTGAGAAATGAAAAATATAGTCGTTGTGCTGATGGTTAAATTTTTGCCTCTTCACTTCAAATCATCTCTTATTGCCTGCTCTGGAATAATGGCAATGGGGTTTATCAATATTTCTGCTTTGCCACCTGGCATGATGGTAAGCCTTATCAGTAGAGGGCTTGGAAGGGCACCAGAAAAGGAAGGATTTTCCTCTTTCTTTTTCTGGTGTGCTATCTTACCAATGTCCTGTGGACAGCCCTTTTTCCTCC